ATCTTGCAAATCTGTAAGTACAATTCTCTACCTATCTTCTTTATAGCCCAAGAAACTAAGGAGAATCTCTTCTGAGCCTCTAGTGCTACCCACTCCCCAGTTGCAGACTATGTTATCTCTTACCTGACACTTCCCTGGCAGCACCTTTTTGCCCAATCTCCCAAGGTCTTTCCACATACTGTTACATCATTTCCCCCTTCATATCATCCTCCCCTCCTGAGTCTCCAGGGAGACAGATAGTGGTGCTGTGAAAACAGAATGTAGCTTGTGTGGCTCCTCTCATCTGCTGGTAACTCTCCAAGAACACATGAGGCATCCCCTGAATCAGGTGTACCAGTAGAGCCGTCCCTCCATTGGGAATTTGTTGGGCTTTCCCTCTCATGTCTGTGTACATTGCCTGCCTCATTTCCCATTGCTACCCCCAAGGCACCCTCTACCCTATGCAAGAATCCCTTCTGTTCATTTTGGTCAGTGCCAAACTCTGCAAGTCTGGTAGTTGGCAAGCATGGATTTATTTTATTTTGTTTTGAAAGGAGTGCACAGTTATAGCTCATGCATGTCTCTTGCTGTCTCCATGACCTTTCCAATTCAGGTAGCTTTTTCAGTGTATCAAATATTTGACCCATTTTCCTTTTTGTTTACAGTCTAGCACCTACAGTCTAGCACTGCTTTCACCTCATACTGTTCCTTCCTGTATAGCAGAGTCCAGCAAGATGCCTCTTTTACTTGCAAAGATTGATGGAATATAGGGTGAAGTCTTCATTGATGCTGGCAGTTGCAACTGAAATGCTACTTGGTTTATTTGCTTAATCACTGGGACAAGGCCAATAAATTGTGAGTCTAGTTTCTTGGAAGACTTCTAAATTCTTTTGGTCTGAATGGACTTTAGTTAAGTCCAGTAATGACTTCCAGTAAGTCATTATTGGACAACATTTTTTATTGCCAGGAACTCCTTCTGGAAAATATCATAGTTCCTTTATGCTGGGCAGGAGAATTCTGGAGTAAAAGGCACACTAAATTAAATCTCTCGCCCCTTCTTTTTCCATATGGATCACAATTGCTTCTATGACCACATCTGAAGCATCTCTCTTCATTACAAAGGGTCAGGGTAGCTGAAGACCGAGAAGCAATGGTTTGTTTTAATTCTTGAAATGCTACCTGCTCTTGGGTTGACCAGAAGAATTGTTGGTCTTTTAAGAGCTGAGACAGTGGTTTTACATGGTCAGCAAAATTTGGGATGAATTTCCTGTAGAAATTAGTAAAGTCCAGAAAGCATTGTACCTCTTTCATATTACATGATGTGTGTGTGTATGTGCACACAACATGATAACATAGATTATCTTTGCTAGATCCTTCTGTATGCTTTCTGTGGAAATTCTGTTGCCCAGATACTTTAGTTGAGGTAGATCAAATGCACACTTCTCTAGTTTGACAAAAAACCTTATTCCATATTTTTTACAGTATGGTTCTGATACATGTGACATGAGAGGAAGGATCTTAAGAAATATGTCAACTAAGTATGCCATCACATACTTACCTAAAATGTTTGCAAATACGTTATTTATGAGTCTAGGAAAGCTCCACAATTAACCAATCTGAAAGGCATCTCTATGTATTTGAATTTGCTTATGAATTAAATACTCATGTCCTCCTTTTATTTTTATTATGTTGTAAGCACTTCTCAAGTC